CCCAAAATGCAAAATTAAAATATTTGGGGAAGGCGGGAAAGTTGAAAAAAGCTTTTGGGCTGAAAATTTGAGACGCGTGGGTTTAACTTTGGGCTTGATCTGTAAGTTTCAATCCATCGAATGACAATGACGTGATTATGGGACCCGATATTCACTACGCAGCGTATTAAAAAGGAGACGACATATATTAGCGTTCCAAGTTTAGAAAAGTGACATGGGCGGCGTTTTCTGGATATAGAAACGGCACGAATGCTATGAACAACAACAATACTTTGACTTTTCTAAAAGATTTGTTCAAAGGCAACAACAAAGGCGAAGGATCAACAACGATCTCCACCGTCAAAATTTCAAACAGCAAAAATCTGAAAACGGTTATTATACGGCGGAAGGCGCTGAGGAGGGGGAGTGTACGGAGGAGATCGTCGTGGGGGCACCGATGAATGAGAGGAATCCGACGGCGGCAGGATCTTGCTCGTCGAGGAAGAGATCATCGGGAGCTCTGAATGCGCCATGGACGCAAACCGTTGCTACTCCGATCATGAGAGAAGATATCAGCACAGACAAAACGCTGGTGAAGAAGATCACAGCGATCGTGGATAAGATCAAGCCACCGAGAATTTCGAGATCTGAGAAAGTTCGGCCGAAGAGGATGAGAGGACGATCGGCTGGACGGAAAATGTAGAGGTAAATCCACGAAGCGGCGAGGCATAAGAGGAGGACGAGAGATAACGGGTTAGCGAGAAGAGAGAAACCGATGATTAGAGCGACGATGCAGACGTAATTCACCCTGAAATAAGAGGAATTCTTCCGGAATCTCGTCGCTGCGTCGGAAATAGAGTCCGGTTTGGTGAAAGCGGATCGATTGAGAAACTCTGACCATGGACGGCTACGAGATAGACTATTACGGACCGTTTCGGTTACGCGGTTCGCCAAGGCACGGACCGCTGGAGGTTGCGATCCCATCACAGCGGTTACGATCGGAGGCTGACTGGCGGTGGTCGTTGCGGTGGTGGAAACCGGAAGCACGGGGGGATGTGACGACACCATTCGAGATCTAGATCGGAAATCGTAAGGCAGAGAAAGGGAAGATTTATATTTGAAGATTGGTGAAGTGACGGATCGAGACTTTCTCTTACCTGCACCTACACGCGTAGTGTTATGCACTATTTATAGATTTTACAATTACGCGTATTTCAACTTTGATTTATGTTGCTTCATCTTATAGATGATCGATATAATTTTGATTAAATAACCAAGTTTGCTGTGTTTTCTTTGAAACTTTCTATCATTAGTTAGGGACCGTTATGATTAAAATAGTTTATACGATTTCATGTATTCTTGATTACTTAGCAAAAGAGCATTTGACCATCCTTTATCTTATAAAACACAAACAAGTCACTTGTGCAATCAAATTTTGACATGTAGGTAGGATCATAAACGCACAAATGTTAGTGCTTGATGCAACTCCATCAAACGTTAGATATGTTTACAACGAGAATAGTTCAAAGTTACTTGATCGATGAGAGTAGATTATAGAAGCTAGAATACTAATACCACACACGTTCATAACTTGCAAGGCAATCACATTAATCTCTCGCCTACCACGGCACTAGAAAGTCGACCCGTTCCAACCAAAGAAAGATCCCTGCAAGAAAAGAAATGTAGATTTGATATACCACATCGATTATACATATACAATCAATATGATGACTGCTCGGGGAGTTATGACCCACTAGAGAACGCATTTAGAGGAGAAACAATAAGTGATCAACTTAAAACAAACAAAAGAAATGTAGATTTGATATACCACATGGATTTTGAGTTCTTGAAATGGTTTCTGCAATTGATCTAATTGTTCATTTTGGCTTGTTTATGAGTACAAGTTATATAGGTCTGCCTTATGATGAACTTACACAAAAAGGATGTTTTTGTTCCCTATTCATGACCTAGTAGTGCTGGTGTAAAGCGTGTAAACACTGTGCATATTCTTGACTTTGATGTGCCTAGAGAG